CTGAAACTGGGCATGGTGGGGCATGCCTGTAATCCCAGCCCTGGGAAGGCTGAGACAGGAGGATCTTATGAGTCTGAGCTGCATAGTGCAACCCTGCATTAAATAAATAAATATTTTTGTTTTAAAAAACAGAGAAAATGTGAAGGGAAAAAGAAAATGTTAAGAGACATAAATTTAGGGAATTTATCTGAAAAATGGGTGAGATTTTCTAATGTAAAAACTAGCTGACAAAATAAAGTACGTGCTGGTATACAGAGAAATTACTAAGTGTTTAATAAATGTGTCTATTCCTTTCTCTGGTTTTGCTTACTTATGTTTAAATCAGAACAATTGTCTTCTTCCCAATCTGAACATTCACTAACACCTATTTAATGAAGTCATCATGGCATACGAGGCAGTATTTTTAAAAAACAGATGGATGAGAGCTGGGTATGATGGCACAAGACTATATTCCTAGCACTTGGGAGGCTGAGGCAGGACGATCACTGCAAGTTTGGGGCCAGCCTGGGCTACATAATGAGTTCAAGGCCAGCCTAAGCTAGACAGGAAGAGCCTGTCACAAAAAAATAAAACAAAGACAGATGAACAAGCAAGGCCCATAATTATGCATGTTCACTGAATTAAAGATCTACATTTTCAAAAGGACTTTAAATGTGTTCTCTCATTGCTATGTCTAAATGAAACCTGCTATATAACCACAGAAACACTAGATAGTGCTGACACAAATATTATAACACTTCTTTCCAGGACTATAATACTAGGGTTTTAGCATTTAACTAGTCTGAGGTTAAAAAAAAAAAAAGACTCCAAAAGTAGTTTCCACAATGGAAGACTCAAATTTTACTAGTTTACTAGTTTTAGAGTTTAAAAAACTCCAAGATATTAGGACCTAAGTAAACTAAAAACAAACAAACAAAAAAAAAGTCTGGTTTCCTTTTGAATGTTGTAACCCAGTTTTTGAAGATCTGCCATCATTGACATGTGGAAATTCCTATTGTTATTGCCTTGGAAGAAAGTCAGCCATAATGGAACCACCAAACACTGCTACAAAATATCCATAAGGCAGCAAATCAATGTCTCATCTTTCAGTGGACTTTTTGAATGGAAAGAAAACTAAAAGGCCAAAAAATACGCTGAGATTACTATTTCAAAATGACAACTAAAGTTCCAAGAATGCAGAACTATCTTCTTAATTCTAAGAAAACAGAAGATTCACGTTAGTACCACAAATCCATTGCATAAAAAGTATGCAGATTGAGATTCCCTTTTAAAACTGTTGATTTCTATTGCTGAGTTAATAAGATATGTTTAATTACTTTTGAAAGGTCTTTTATAGTAAAATATTATTTATAAAAAGAATCTTGACAACTTAATTTTTTTGAAACAGTCTTACTATGTACTTCAGGCTGGTCCCATGAAATCATTACATAGTCCAGGCTGGCCTAAAACTCAAGGCAATCCTCCTGCCTCAGCCTCCAGAGTGCTATGATTCAGGTGTGTACCATCACAACTGGCTGAAAACTTAATTTTATACAGCCTGAATTTCTATTTTCCCATATCTGAAAAATGAATATGAAGGTAATGAGTAAGAATCTTAGGGCCGGGGAGATGGCTCAGTAGAATAAGCGCTTCCCTGGCAAGCACAAGGGTCTGAATTCAATTCCCGATTCTGCCAAAAAAAAAAAAAAAAAAAAAGAATTTTAACTAGGTATGGTGTACACACACCTGTAATCCTAACTGCTTGGGAGGCTAACACAGGAGGATTACAAATTCAAGGCCTGGGGGCCAGGGAGATGGCTTAGTGGAATAAGCGCTTCCCTGGCAAGCGCAGGGTCCTGAGTTCAATCCCCAGTTCCGTCAAATTTTAAAAAAAAAAACAAAAACAAATTCAAGGCCAACCAGGACAACATGATGAGACCCTGCTCAAAATTAAAAAATTAAGAGCAAAGGATATAGCTCAGTGGTAGATCACACGCCTGGCTTGGGGTTTGATCCCAGGCATGCTGTGCCAGCCCCATCCCCAGAGTGAGCTGAGATGGCCATTGAACTGGGTATGGTGGTGCCTGTAATCCCAGCACTTGGAAGGCTGAAAACAGTAGAATCACTATGAGTCCGATCTACATAGTGAGATGCTGTAGACCCTGTAGACCCTGTCCTAAATACAGAAAAATAAATAAATAATAAAATGTACTTACATGCCAGCGAGATAGCGGTCTAAAGTACCTGCTTAGGCAAGCTTAGGCAGGCTCAGGTGACCACAGTTTGATCCCTAGGACCACATGACTTAGGGCAGGCTGAGCCAACCAAAATAAATAAATAAATAAAATTTTAAAAAATAAAATAAAATGTACTTAATAGTACATATCTGGAACCTGGTTCAAACAACAACAAAAAAATACATACAATGACTTCTCTCCAACAGAATTATTGGAGAAAAAAATAATACTACAAACTAGTTCACATCTCAGGTTTGAACATTAAATTATAAAGCAAATTTAAACCTGATCTTTTGCCAACTAGTCTCTTAGTCAATATACTGCAAATCCAATTTAAAGTATTAATCTTGACACTACTGAAATCTATACACAAGAAAAATCACCAACCACTGTAAGTAGTAGTGATAAAAATAATAAGGTATAAAGAATTACCAACTCATAAAGAAAAACTGCCATCATCACATTAGAACTATCATTTCAATACAACACAAAGACTACAAATCCATATCTTCTTCTAATTCAGCACTATATTAAAATATAATGAAAAATCTAGAGAACTAGGTCCCTCTTTAGGGGGACACCAGCAAAGGAACCTCTATCAGAGTAACTATAATCAATATGACTAAGCATTACTATTAACCCTAACGATTAACTTCATTTAAAGCCTAACGAGAAAAGTGAAATCCCCTTTAAAAACTCTAAGGCAGAGAAACAATCAGTTCTCACTCCAGCCAACATACAAAGTAGAAAAACTCAAAGAAATAGGTCTTAAAAAAAAAGATTTGACAAGGCAGCACAGAATTTGAAAAATACTTATTTCTTAATTTCACTGAGCACAGTACATTTCCAGCCTGTGTAGGAACAGGCTACTAAAAAAGCCCACGAACCTATGATCTCTTCCTTTTGAGAAAAGGGGAAAAGGGGAGGAAAATACACTTTCTGATGTGATTATCATGTAGTGAACATGCAATCAATAATTTAGAAGAGATGGAAGAATTACTCAACATCAAAAAAGAAATTTAAAAAAAAAGAAAAGAAAAAAAAAAGAAAGAAAAGAAATTTCAGGAGCAAGCAGCCAAGGACCAAAAGCAAAAAACAAAAATAAAGCAACTTTTTTATTGACAAAGATTCTGTATCCAAAAAATGCTATTTTCTGCTTAAAGATTTAAGATGATATTGATGGGCCAAAGAAAATATGGTTCAGAGATTGTCATTCTGGCGAGTTATTTAAAAAAAAAAAAAAAAGACAAAGTAACCCCACCCACACAGCTGGAAAAAAGCTTCTGACATATGCACTAAAACTTGTTTACCCAGGCCACTTCTTAATAAGAAATGCTTTGCAATTTGACTAGATTATACAAGGATTTTGCATTGTGTGATCAGTTTAAAATCTTATTTACCTTTAGTTCACCGACAGATTATTTTCTTACAAGGTCAGGTTTTCTCTATAGTGTTTTTGCAACTGTGTAATTTTGTTCTCTCAGCACTTCTTCCAAGAGAAATCCAGCCATTAATTTTATCTTCCTTTCCCTTAAAATTTTTTGAAAGATTACAAGACTGATACTGACATGTAACAAATCAACCATTTCTTAAAATAGTTCTATTCTCAGAAACTTGGGGGAAAGACAGTAAACTTAATAGTGATTCAACTGTACTATCAACACCTGATTATTGCGAAATAATACCGCCTTCAGAGACATGAAGAAAATCAAACTCCAACTTGAGTATAGCAGGGAATTCTTTCCCACCGCCAACCTCTCTCCTCTGACCCACGCACATCCCTCTGCCTCCCTCGATTTTTTTTAAAGTTATCAAAGATAAGGATTTCGAGGAAAGGGTGGATTTCATTTAACAAAAGAAACGGCCAACTAAATTCGGTCCGATGAAATGAAATACTTTATAGAGAGAAATAACCGTAATGTAGTGGAAAGAGGGACTGCGACCGAGAATTCGAAGATCTGATCTCCCTAGACCTGTCTCACAACTTATTCTACCTCTTAGACATGACCGGCTACATTTTTTAAATTAATGTGCACTGAGAAATGGCACGGAAAAACGAAAAAAAAGAAAGAAAAGAACGGCATTAACTAAATTTTTCTGAAAGAATGGGAATTGCCTCGACATGGGCCTAACAAGATTGAAACTGGGACCCTTGCCGAAAGACCTGTCCTGAATCACAACTATTGTACAAAATTCTTTGCCAGCAGCAGCTGGACACTCCGAGACCTCTGAAGGTGTAAACGCAAATTTCAAAGTATAGCCCGAGGGGGCGGGGCGCGGTGGGAGGTAGAGCCCAGAGAACCGATGCATATTTATAGAACACTGCATTTTACATGAAAATCTAAACACTTGAAGTGTTTAGAACACACACGTCCGCTAAACAGCAACGTGGTCCAAAGTTAATGACACCAAACTAGTCTCAAGTAAACTCCCTCCCTCCTGCCAGCAGGTTTTGGCACGGGGAGCTTCAGCTCGCAGAGGGTTAAAGACAACCACATCACAGGACCAGACGCCGCCCGAACAGTGTGACTGCTGGGCAGTTTGGCACCGAGAAGCTGCAAGCTCCGCTCGCCCGCAGCCTCTGTCCACCCGGGGTCTCCCCAGGTCCCAAGGGTCGGTCCCCTCCCCCCGACCCTCCCCTCCCCCACAACCCCTGGGCCGACGCAGCTAATCTAGCGCCTCCCGTCGCCGCTACGGCCGCTCAGCTCCGAGTCTCTCCTCAGTTGTCAACCCCTTCAGCCGCTACCCCTTTAGAGACTTCCCAATCCTCCTCCTCCTCCTCACCCGGGTTAGCAGTAGTTGTCGCCATGGCCTAGATGCCGCCGCCACCGCCGCCGCCGCCGCGCAACCCCCCCCACCAGTGGGAGGAGCCGCTGCCACCGAGCGCAAGGGTGGGGGGATGGGGGAGCGGGAGCCACTCCCCAGAAGCGGCGCCCTACTGCCGCCACCGCTACCGCGGAATCCAAGATGGCGGCCAGGATAACCCCCGCCAACCCGGCCCCAGTTGCGGAAAGGCCCCGCCCATAGAGTGGGCGCGGTCCACCAAGTCGGCCCCCTTGGAAAACTGACCAATGAAAATTCAGAATCCACTAGTGGGCAGGGCTAGCCCATCCAGCAAAGACAGGGAAAGGTCTAAGAAGTCCAGCTGCCTTCCCAGTCCCGCCTTCTTTGCGTCAGAGGTCAGTGACCGAGTGACGTCATTGAAGAGTTAGGAAAATGGATATTTACAGAAAAGTTTGTTTGGGTTTGGATTTGCCGGGGTGTTCTCTATATAGAAGATTTATTTTGTAAATTCTCTCTAGATGTTCTAATACCTAAACTTCGCATGGTGACTACGTTAGTGCGTTAGTTTTGAAAGGCTTCGTGGAGCTGGTAGGGTAAAATGCTCTGTACGCTTCTGATCTTGCGAGTCAGGTACTGACAGCCAAAACTGGAGGCAATGGATGAAGAAAGTATTTTAAGAATAGGGTAACTTCAATTGGTCAGTAATAGGGACAAAGCCACATGCTTTTAGTAAAGAAGTTACAAGATAATGATAGTACATTTTATTTTCTAGAAATAGCATTTTGCACTTCGGGCCACTATACATACATTTGTTTTAACTCATTTCATTCTCACGACACGTGAGGTGGATTCTACTAGCATTTCCATTTTACAAGTAAAGAATAGAAACAAAGAGGTTAAGCGAGGGACACCCAGTAAGTCCAGTAACTGTGCAAAGCAGACTGAAGGAGCCCAACGCTGGAAGCCTGTTACATCCGTCCCTTTTTTAGTTCCATCGTTTTAGCACTGCGAGGCATTACCTTTTCCCGTGTCTTTCACAAACTGTTTAATATTAATCTAATTAAAATGTCAACAAAAGGTGTATTTGCACACGGTTGTGCTCCCAGCACTTGGGTGGCTGAGGCAGGAGGATTGACATGCGTTCAAGACCAGCCTAGACTACATACTGAGAAATACAAAATAAGACGCTGTCTCCAAAAATTGTTTTTCAGCAAAATTCCTATTCTATAGAACATCTTTGTCTGCATTCTTAGGTTTTACCATATGTATACTGCAAAGATTACACTGGCCCATTTATCTCAATTAAAAGCAAAGGAATTCTAACCATTTGAATATTGTTTGCATTTTTAAAATGTTTATCTTTTATTTCACTTTGTTGGGTTATGTTTCTAATTCACCAAAAAGAAAAATCATCCATTTAAAAGAAGTACATTTAGAAAGCTGATCTCATGTTGGTTGGTTGATTGTGAGACTGGGGATTAAACCCACATCCTTCACACTGAAAAGCATCCAGGACATTTTTTTACTCTTTTTTTTTTTTTTTTTTTCAGACCAGAGATTGAACTGAGACCCTTGTGTTTGCCAGGCAAGCACTTATTCTACTGAGCCATCTCCCTGGCCCCTTATTCTTTACTTTTGGACAGTTTCACTAAATCCCTAATTGCCCCAGCTGGGCTCAAACTTGTGATCCTCTCAACTCAGCTTCCTAAGAGTATACAAGGATTGTCAGGAATAGTGGTACATGCCTGTGATTCCAACACTCAGGAGGCTGAGGCAAGAGGATTGCCATGAGTTCAAAGCCAACCTGAACTACAAAGCAAGACCCTGTCTCATAAAAAATAAAAAAAGTTTTGGGTTTATGTGTGCGCTTGCACTACCACACACAATTACTTTATTTTGTAACTATATTTTGTAGTAAAACTTCAAGAATTTAATGGTAGAGAGTTTGGCTAACATGTACAAGGTTCAATCCTAGCATCAGAAAAAGAAAAAAGTATCTTAAAAAGAAAAGAATTACATAAACTACAAAGTGGTGGTGGTGCAAGGCTGGGGATGTAATTCAGTGGTAGAATGCTTTCATAATACACATGAGGCCCCAGATTCAACCTCTAGCATTAAAAAAAAAAAAAAGGAAAAGGAAAAGTAATGAGAAGAAAGTTAACAAGGGGCTGGGGAGATAGCTCAGTAGAATAAGCGCTTGCCTGGCAAGTGCAAGGGCCTTAGTGCAATCCTCTTGCCTCAGCCTCCTGAGTGTTGGAATCACAGGCATGTACCACTATTCCTGACAATCCTTGTACTCTTAGGAAGCAATCCTCGGTTCCGAAAAAAAAAAAAGAAAGAAAGAAAGAAAGAAAGAAAGAAAGAAAGAAAGAAAGAAAAGAAAAAGAAAGCTAACAAGTACTTTAATTCAAAAATATACAGTTAGAGGCCGGGGAGGAGATGGCTCAGTAGAATAAGCACTTCCCTGGCAAGCACAAGGGCCTGAGTTCAATCCCCGGTTCCGAAAAAAAAAAAAAATGACAGAAAGAAAGAAAGAAAAGAAAAAGAAAGCTAACAAGTACTTTAATTCAAAAATATACAGTTAGAGGCCGGGGAGGAGATGGTTCAGTAGAATAAGCACTTCCCTGGCAAGCACAAGGGCCTGAGTTCAATCCCCGGTTCCGAAAAAAAAAAAAAATACAGTAAGGGGCTGGCTAGATAGCTCAGGAGACTAAAGCACCTGCTTCCACAGAGTGCAGGGCATGGGTTGGATCCTTGTCTTGCTGGGCTGACCCTACCCCAGGACACACTGATATGGCAATTGAGACTGGGCATGGTGGCGCGTGCCTGTAATCCCAGCACTTGGGAGGCTGAAAACAGGAGACTCACTACAAGTCCGATCTAAGTAGTGAGACCCTGACCCTACCTAAACTCATATTATATATACATATAGTAAAAGTAGCTAAGTAGTCAACAACATACAAATGCAGATATAGAATATGAATTACATTGTTTTTAAATGTGATTAATCCATGCAAGCAGCCAAAAAAATTAAATGTAAATAGGAAGTATAACTGTGAATATCTAAAAATTGTATTTTATTGAACCAGCAATTCATTTATCTCTCACCTAGTGCACTTCCACTGTTAGGAAATTTTGTCAAACACTGATTTAGAAAGCCATGTCAAGACACCAAAAATACAGTAACTTTTCTACCAAGTAAAATACACTTTTTCAGAATAATGCAAAGTAATGTTTCCTAATATGGTGTAGATTTTTATTTTCACTACCAGAAATTGAACCCCTGGGCTACTGAGCTACATCTCCAGCCTTTTAATTTTTATTTTGCTCTCGCTAAATTGCCCAGGCAAGCCTAACACTTACAATCCTCCTGCCTCAGCCTCCTAAATACTTGGGATTACAGCTTGTGCCACTGTATACCACTGACGGAAGTTTTTGAATAAAACATACAAACTCACATGCCTCTTTATACCTATCTTTATACCTACAAAGTTAAAAAACAACATTTCTATTTCATTTGGGAAAAAATAATAAGCTATTTGAAAAATTATCATCTATCATACAGAATCATGGCCTCTATCATGAAAGCACAACCTGAACTACATAGTGAGAACCTGTCTCAAAACAAACAAAAAAACAAAACCCATACAAAATAACTTCCTTGTCTAATGCTCAGTCTCCTCAGGCTTGTAAGACTTCTTCCTTTTCTTCACAAAGTCTTCATGTAAAATGATGAGTGGCTTGGCATGCACAGGGCCCAGGCTCGATCCCCGGTACCAAAGAAAAGGAGAACAATGGACTCCTGAGTACTTTAGTCAAAGTACATCCACCTTGTGGTTGCTTGTGTGCCAGCACAGATCAGCTTTTGATGATCAGGAAGAATCCCTTCCTTACCCTGAAAACACTGACCAAACGTTTTCATTGTAGCAGAAGATTCAACCTCGGGGGTGACTGGCTTCCCCATAAGGAGGCTTCTGATGAAAATCTGCATCTTAGAGGTAGATGCAGTGCAGGTGATTTTTAATCTTGAAAACTGGGTATCAGGATCATTTTCTTTACTTTTTCTTCTTTATGGTACTATGGATTAAACCTAAGAAGCACTGAGCATCCTGAGCCCTTATTTTATTTTTTTTATTTATTTTTAATTTTATGTATTTGGTACAGGGTCTCACTACACAGGTCAGACTCATAGTGCTCCTACTACCTCAGCCTCCCCAGCACTGGGATTACAGGTGTGCACTACCAGGCCTGGTTTCAGTGGCCGGCTTGGCACACCCGGCTCGGGACTGGCATAGCATGTGCTGGGGATCAAACCCGGGTCCCTGTGCTTGCCAGGCAGGCACTTAGGCCGCTGAGCTATCTCTCTGGCCTCTGAACCCTTATTTTTTAATTTAATTTTAATGTTTGGTTTTCTGGCACTGGTTCTCACTATAGAGTTCCGGCTGGCCTTGCCTTATTATGTATCCCAGGCAGGCGTCCAACTTGTAGCAATTCTCCTACCACAGCCTGCCTAGGCTAGGTCGCAGCTATGTGCCATCACATGTGGCTTGTGGGTTTGTTTGGTTTTTTTTGTTTGTTTTTTTTTGGGTTTTTTTTTTTTTGAGATTAAAAAAAAAGTTCTATAGACTAGTCTCAAACTTGTGATCCTCATGCCTCAGCCACTTAAGTAGCTGGGATCACAGGTATGCACCTCCACCATCTGGCAAAATATCAAAATTTTGTAAGACCAGAAGATGATGCAAATGTCATGACTGCCAAGAGTGAACTATTTCCCAACACATGGCAATTTTATTTGTTCATTAGAGAAAAAAACAGAATGACACAGTATTGGACATATTCTAAACCACATCCAAATGTTGCAACAGAATGGAAAAAAAATACTTTCCAGAACTGAATGCAACCAGCGAAAATGAATATAATTCCTGCTCTTTCTCAAATTGAAACTTTCAACTTTTAAGAGTACTCTGTCCTCTTACTCTTAGAATCCGACAACCTAAAGCTATCTTCAGCTAGTAACTCTCCAACCTAATAGATCCATTTTAGCTCCAACTATTCAGAATTATCAAGCAGCCATCAGACAGCCCTTGCCATATGCGGTGAACTCTGCAAATCAAGTTTTATAATTTTGGTAGAGCTAAAAAATTAAGTTGATTATACTGGGTATGGTACTATACAC